TCAGGGCTGAACCTACATGTCTATACTGAAATTCCAGCACGCAACTTAACACCTATACTGAAATTCCAGGACAACTTTTTCACTTATGCTGTTTTTCCAGGACTGGGACCCCACAGCTATACTGAATTCAGGAGAATCAGGATAAATTATCCTGATATCTGAGGCCCTGACCGCCTGCTCCTCCTGCTCCTCCTTCGCCTCCTGCGCCTCTTGTGCCTCCTGCTCCTCCTCAACCTGCGCCGGTGTCTTCAATTCACACGGGGATTCCGCCCGTGCTCACGCTTTTGCAACCATCGTCGTTCGACGAATACCTATCGGAGCCAGAGTCGAACAAGCCCTCAGATGAGTGGGTGGCTGTTGAGTATGTGCCAGGACAGCGCTGGGGCCGGCCCGACGATTGTACGTGGGACGAATCTGCAGTCGGCGCCGACGTCGAGCTCCCCGACGCTGAGGAGGACTGTCACGAGGAGGGCGGCGATGGCGCCGAGGGTGGCACGGAGGCTGGCACCGAGGCCGGCACCACTGAGGATGTGTTTCCCGAGGGTGCGCCGGGCGCCGACGAGGACGACGGTGTTGAGTACTGGTCACGCGACGGGCTCCCTGAGAATTTGCCGATACCTACCTACCCTCCTACTAATCGCAAGCGACCCCACCCTTCTACACAGAACCGTGATGCCCGCCCCCCCTCTCCCAGGCATACCGTATACTCCCGGACAAAACACCCCCCCATAATTGTACACCCACGGGTAGCTTGTGCGGGGTGGGTGTTATGATAGACCTCGTTTCTACTATACCCCCATTTTTTGCTGATTTTCTATAACACCCCCCTTTTCTTACGGATTCATTATTATAGTCGTTAACGAGTAGCTGCAATACGGAAGAATATCGTGTGAATTTCTCCCTCAATGAAATTTCGCGGTACATTCAAAGGCAATCTGCCGAGATTTGCCCCCTCCCACTATTTCTCTGTTGCCACGTGCAGGTGAATCTTCCGTTGCAAGTGGCAAGAGAGGTGTCACATGGCATTTTTGTGAGGGCGATGAAGTTCGAGGCCGAAACTGACATTCGCACCTCAGGCAACGATGCTAAAACGACCAGCAAAACACCCACATTGACTAATTAAAAAAACACTAACACTAAAATATGCCATATGTAAAGACCCGGGTATTATGTATTTTTTTCCTATGAGGAGACCCCCCCCATTTTTTCCCTGTATTTTTAGCTATACCCTAGGGTGTTATGTCCGGGAGAATACGGTAAGCTCAACGATCACAAGCGTCAGACCTATACCGCCGCCGAGAAACTGAAGTACGTCGCGCTGCTGCAGGTCGCGGTTTCGGTGCGTGCTTTGGCCCGCGAGAGCGGCATACACCGCAAGTGCCTCAGCAACTGGAAGTGCTCTGCGGATTTCCCGAAGGAAGCTCACTCCGCGCGGAAGCGGATGCACGGTCGCGGGAGATCGTCGTGGTACCAACCGATGGAGATGAAGGTGTACGAGCGTCTCCTCGAGTGGCGCCGCAAAGGAACTGCCGTGTCGGTCGGCCGCCTGCAGGAGTGGTCGAAGGAGTTTATGAAGGAGCTCTACCCTCAAGAGAAGTGGAAGGGCATTCAAAGGTGGTCGGAACGGTTTCGGAAGCGCTGGAATCTAAGCGTCCGCATGAAGACAAGTGTTGCACAGAAAACCGCCGCTCGTAAGCCCTCGATTTCATAGTCTTGTGTAATTAACCCATGTGATGTATTTATTGGACCCGAGTGTATCGCCCTGTCTCCCACCGTATCGCAGATGTCGCGGCGCAGTGCAGGAACTTTTGGCAGTTCGTCCGAGACAAGCGACGCGAGCACGGCATCGAGACCACGTGGATCATCAACGCCGACCAGATGCCTCTGTGGCTGGAGATGCCCGCCACCACAACCGTTGAGCAAGCTAGCGTTCGCTCGGTGCCCATCAGGAGTGTCGGGTACCAGAAGGAGCGCGTGGCCGTGATGCTGGCCTGCACAGAGGACGGCGCCAAGCTTAAGCCGTGGGTTTTTTTCAAGAGGAAGACGCTGCCGAAGGGCGACTTTCGGCCTGATAATTGAGGTTCTTGGACGTGCGTCGCACATGTTTAATGTTTTTTTTTCTTCACTAATTTCTTGTTTCAATACCTGATTGTGCAGACGTGGTCGTGGCTGCCACGATAATGGGTGGATGGACGCCGCGGGCGTTATCCGCTGGCTCGAAGAGTGTGTCAAGCCGTTCTTGAAGCCGTCTTTCGGTCGGCACTCCAGCAGCTCCATGGTGGTTCTGGATTCCTACCGCGGGCACCTCACTGAGGGTGTGAAGGAGAAGTTTCGCGAGATGAACTGTGTGCCGGCGATCATCCCGTCGGGGTGTACGAGGGAGCCTCAACCCCTTGATGTCTCCGTCAACAAGAGTTTCAAGGTCTCCGTCCGTCAGCAGTACCAGAAGTGGTTCGAAGCGGAGGGGCAGGAACAGCTGACTGCAGCGGGTACGGTGAGACCGTGGTTTCTAGGTACGGCAGGCACGTTGCTATAAACCCCCCTTGGTTGCCCTAATCACCGTCGTTTCTTTGTGATATTGCAAGCAGTCTCAAGAAGCCGCCACCTGCCGTGGTTCTGAGGTGGATCTCGCGGGCCTGGAAGGCAATGCCCGCCGACCTCATCAGGCGCGCCTTCCTCACATGTGGCATCAGCAACGCGCTTGACGGCAGCGAGGACCTCCTCGTCATGGTGTCGAAATAGCTAGGCAAGAATCAGGGACAGGAAAGAGGATTTTCACTAGCAGCAGTTGAGATACATATAGCAAACCCTAATTCGGGCTGTACTCGCTATAGAGTACCCCACTGCAGGCTACACAAACATCACATTTTGACACACCCCCATAGTCAAAGTGGGGTACAATCAACACAACAAGCAGGCAGATCAATAGGTCACTGTGTTAAGCAAAGCTAGAGGATATCACAAAGAGCAAGTGAGGAGGAGGGGAAATTGTGGGGGCGAGAAGATGCGAGACGACGGCTGAAGCTGCAGACACACGGGTAACAGGAGTGCGCAGAACTGTCGCTACCAGGCTAAACCCGGACTACACAGCGACAGGCGCAGCTGGCTCTCTGTGCTCCCATGAGTGCTCACACTGTGGCTACCGGGCGCAGAGCCCCGGACTACTCAGGCCATAGGGGGTCGTGGCTCTCTGGACTTCAGGCGCTGCGGACGACAAGTCGGCTACCTCCGGTCAACCTCCCCCAACTGTCCCACACCCCTTTAACACACTCCCCACTGAACCACTAGCACCGCTCACACGCCACCCCCCTCGTACCACTCCGACGGCTCCAACACATCCACCCCCCTCAGCGGTAGCTGCAGCAGTGGGAGACGGAGGAGGAGGAGGAGGAGCAGGGGATGGCTCACACACACGGCACCCCCATACTCTCCACCCCCAAACCCTAACTCAGGAGCGCAGGCAGCAGCGGGGGTGGGGCGCGGTCAGAAGCTCGGGGGACGGCGTGCGGCACAAGGGCAGACGGTACGGGCCGCTCACGGGCCTGGCGCAGGCCGGACGAGCCGCGCGCGGGCTGCCTGAGTCGCGCACGGGCCTGGCGCAGCCCGTACGGGCCGCGCGCGGGCTATACAGGCCGCGCGCGGGCCTGGCGCAGCCCGTACGAGCCGCGCGCGGGCCTGGCGCAGGCCGTACGAACCGCGCGCAGGCCTGGCGCAGGCCGTATGGGCCGCGCGCGGGCCTGGCGCAGGTCGCGCGGGCCTAGCGCAGGTCGCGCGGGCCGCTACGGGCGACGGGGGGCGACGTGCGGGTCCCTGGGGGCGCTGCGACGGGCGACGGGGGTCGACGCGCGGAATGACGGGGCAGAAAACTGCCGCGCGCCTCGGGGCGCGCGGCGGGCAGGGCAGGGCGCGCGGCGTGAAGGAAAAACGCTGCGCGCTCCGAGCGCACGGCAGGAAGAAAACGGCGTGCGCCCGGGGTACGCTACAGGCACTAGAGCAGCGGAAGCATCGGGTGGGGCCCACCCACAGGATCGACCCATAAGGGTCGCCCTGCTCTGATACCATGTCGAAATAGCTAGGCAAGAATCAGAGACAGGAAAGAGGATTTTCACTAGCAGCGGTTGAGATACATATAGCAAACCCTTATTTGGGTTGTACTCGCTATAGAGTACCCCACTGCAGGCTACACAAACATCACATTCTGACACATGGTGCACAGGCGGACGCAGCTGACCGCGGAAGTCGATGTCGACGACGGCATCATCACCGATGGCTTCTTTGGCAACAACTGCTAGGAGCCCGAGTCTGACGAGGAGTAGATGCTTCCTTGGTAGATAGGCCTTAGTAAACGCCTATTAAATGAGTTAGAAGTAGGATGTTGTACGCAAAGTGCTAAACTTCTAATGGAAAGTGCATGAAGATGTTACGGTAATTGTTGTAGTTAAAAAAAAAAAAATGTTGAAGGTATGCGCTTATAATAAGTACGGGTACAAATAGGGGTGCGCTTATAATCGAGGAACGGCCATAAGCGCCATGCTCCAGATAGAGGCGCCGGCGTCTTTAATCGGATGGCGCCTATATCCGGGGCCATACGGTACATACATCCTCACATGCTAAGGTTCCGTGAGGCAGGGGTATGATAGTTTGGAAGGCTTAGTGTCCCAATGGGGGCTTCAGGTGCATGTGCCTGCTTGATAGATGGAGACATGCAGACCCGTGTACTTGGATTTCACTAAAGAGTGCATGTGGATGCCTGTCGAAACACGATGGTACAGCACCTGCATTCAATGTATAGTGAAATCCTTTCATTATCAGTGTTGGGTGTTCACATTGCTTACTTTCTCTCGTTTAGTTAGCAGAGTATAAGAGAATCCAGAGACAAGTTACCGTAGCAGCAGTACAGTGCACTCCTTTCATGGCACTTCTGCAGACCTTAGTGTCACTCCAGCTAGACAGCATCACTCTGGCCAGACGGTGTCAATGACAATTGCCTACCGGTAACTTCATGCCCCAAAAGCTGTCATTTCCACTGCCAGGAGAGCATCAGCAGCAGCTGTGGGCCCCACTGCTGCCACTGGCACCACTATTGGGCAAGGCACAGCAGCAGCAGCAGTAGCAGTAGCAGAAGGGCCATGCTGGTGGCTTGAAGCAGGTGATTCATGGGAGGGTAGGGACTGCGCTCGGTTGTGCAAGGACTTGGAAAGATGAGTCTTGAGGGCGAGTGACAGGGCAGGAATGGGGATTGGCCCTCCTGCCGACACATACACACGGAGCATCTGTAGGGTTCAAGGGGAAGGGTCGAGGAGAGGGGGGGGGGGGGGGGTAGGGAGGGGGACGGGGAGGGGGGGAACATAGAATAGTGTGTGCTTTTGTTTTCAAGGAAGGACGCAGTTCACCGGGAAAAGAGCGGGGAGTTGATCAAACGCATGAGGGCAAGGGCAGTCACTTGTTGGAGAGGAGACTGGAGATCTGGGTCCTAGCAGAGGGCAGGCAGGGCAAACATGGCACCGACAGACACACATGGCAAGTTGAGTTTTGAGTGCATGTCACCAGGGAGAATGCAGCAAGGCAGATTGTGAGTCGGATCAAATGCCACCATGGCAGACAATCCGTGGTGAGAGATGCATGGGTATGGCAGGTAGGTAAGGCCACCAAGGTGCATGCATGCATCAGGGACGCATAACATAGAAACCTCACCGCAACATCGGGCCAATCAAGTCGTGCCACGTGGAGGGCATCTGATAGCACTCGGACACATTCACCAGCAACCCCATCCACTAAGCTGCCATCAGCACATGACTCCATGCCCTCCCCTTCCCCTCCAGCTTCACTCCCTGCTCTGTCACCAGGGCGCCCTGTCCCCCCCGCACAGGGAGCAACAGAGAGGTTGGTATCACACCCTCCCCTCTGCGCCCCCCTAGCCTGTTCCACCCACAGGTGCACGCGACAGAACGCCCCTGCTGCTGCCATGCCCCGCCCGGCAATGCTCACCCCCTCCGCCCCTTCCCCCACTGCCACTCCCCCCTCTGCCACTCTCCTCTGCATCGCCCCCTCGTCTCCCTCTCTCCTCCCGGCTGCCTCCTCTGCCACACTCTCTGTGACCTCTGCCACACTCTCTGTGACCTCTGCCCCTCTCTGCCTGTCTGCGTCTGCCGCATCACCCACAGCTCTGTCAACCTCATTTGCCCCTGTCTTTTTGTCTTCCTCTGCTGACTCGAGCCCTTCCTTTGCTTCGCCCAAGCTCATCCCTGCCAGCTGATTCCTTGGAGCTGACGTGTGGCCGGCTGTGTTTGACAGGTGGCAAGATGCTGACGTGGACAGGAGGTGCAGGGGGGTTAGGGAACTCGGCCACGGGGCAGCTGAGGTGGCAGAGGAGGTGGCAGAGGAGGTGGCAGAGGAGGAGGAGAGAGACGGGGTGGCAAGGAGAGGAGCAATCTCGATAGCAGCGCTGAGGGAAGGAGGATGGGGGAAGGGGAATGCGTGACATGGGAATGCGTGACATGGGAATGCGTGACATGGGAATGCGTGACATGGGAATGCATGACATGGGAATGCGTGACATGGGAATGCGTGACATGGGAATGGGAAAGGAGGGGGAGTTGGGCAGAGAGGTAAACGGGTAAAGAGAAGGAGGAGAGTGGTTGAGAAAAAAGGGGAGTGGTGAAAGAATGGGACGGGGAAGGGAATTGGAGAATGAGAAGGGAGCAGCGGATGAGAACAAGGGGACAGCGAAGTGATAGGTGGAAAGAAAGACGACAACAGGAACAGGTGTTGGGTTAATGGAGAGGAGGGGAAAATGGAAGAGGGACGAGGGTGGGTGGGGCAGGCATCAGTAGTGGATGGGGTTGGAGAGAACGGAATCGGTGGCGGAAGAAGGGAGAGTGCAGGCAAATGCGAATGACATATAAGGCGCCTCACAGTACTGCTCCCTCACAGTACTGCCCCCTCACAGTACTGCTCCCTCACAGTACTGCTCCCTCACAGTACTGCTCCCTCACAGTACTGCTCCCTCACAGTACTGCTCCCTCACAGTACTGCTCCCTCACAGTACTGCTCCCTCACAGTACTGCTCCCTCACAGTACTGCTCCCTCACAGTACTGCTCCCTCACAGTACTGCTCCCTCACAGTACTGCTCCCTCACAGTACTGCTCCCTCACAGTACTGCTCCCTCTCTTCCCTCTCCCTCCCCTGCTACTATGAGTTGAAGTGTGGAACTGCCTCAAGCCTTTGCCCACGCTTACTTACCCCTTGGCAGTTCCAATACAATGACGCGCCTCAAGCCCCAACGGCACACACTTACCCTTTAGGCAGTCCCGGTACCACCAGCAGCGGATCGGCTGCTATCACTCCCTCTGACTCCTCCTGCTCCTGCTGCAGCACACACTTACACCCTGGGCAGTCCCAATACTCTGAGGTGCCTCACACAGCAAGCGCAACACTTACCCTTTAGGCAGTCCCGGTACCACCACAAACTGCACCAATGGATCTGCTGCGATCACCCCCTCTGACTCCTGCTCTTCTTCGCTCTCCTCCCCCTCCATCTCCTCCTCCTCTCCCCCACGCTCCTCCTCCTCCTCCTCCTCCTCCTCTCTCCCCTCTCCTTCCCCACCCTTCTCCTCCCTGCCCTCTTTCCCTCCATGCCCCACCACCCACCATCGCCCCACACCCCACACCCCCTCACCTTTACCCTCTTCTCTTCCTTCACAACCCCCTTTCCCTCCTCCACCTCCATTCTCCCCGTTTCCCTCTTCTCCGCCCCCCTCCCCACTTGTCCCCGTCCCACTTCCTACTGCTGCCCAAATCTCCCTCCTCTTCCTCCGGGCAGCTGCAAAAACCTCCTCAACTGCCCGTGCCACCTCCTCTCTCTCCCCAACACCCACATCCCGTGCCAAATACACTGTCATCGCGATACAGTCCCTCCCAACACTCAAACACCCCTTCCGAACCCATTTCCTCCACCCCTCTCCCCCACTTCCTCTCCTGCCACTCGCTCCCCCTCCACTCCCTTCCCCCCAACTCCCCTCCTCCTCACTCTCGCCCCCGCCCTTCCCCCACCCAACAGCCCCCCCTCTCCCCTTCACCACAGCAGCAACAGCCTCGCAGCTTCTCAGCGCCCTCTCTGCCTGCTGCCTCGCCCCCCCCCCGACCAGCTCCATAACGGCCGGGTGTAGACCCAGCTGCCCCGCCATCCACAGCACTCCCTTGTGGCTCGTGCACTGGGGGAGGGAGAACAAGGCGAGAGGGGCGATGGAGCAGGAAGAGGGGAAGGGTGAGAAGAATATTCTACATAGTTACAGCTTCTCAGCGCCCTGTATGCCTGTCTCCTCGCCCCTCCCTCCACCAACTCCATGACTGGCGGGTCCAGACCCAATTGCTCAGCCATCCACAGTACCCCATTGAAACTCGTGCTCTGGGGGACGGGGGGGAGGAGGGGAGATGGGGAAGGGTGAGCAGAAATTCTATGAGCTCGCAGCTCCTCAGCGCCCTGTCTGCCTGCTTGTCTCCTCGCCAAAATCCCTTCCCCCCCCCCCCCCCACTAGCTCCATAACGGGCGGGTCTAGACCCAGCTGACCCCCCATCCACAGCACCCCATTGTGGCTCGTGCAATGGGGGAGGGCAGGAAGGGGGACGGAAAAGGGACGGGGAGGGGGAGGGAGAAGAGGGGGAAGGGGGAGCAAAGAACCAACCATACATGTCTGCCTGTCTCCTCTACATGGCTGCTGCTTCTCACCGCTCTCTCTGCCTCTCTCCTCTGCCTCTCTCCTCTGCCTCTCTCCTCTGCCTCTCTCCTCTGCCTCTCTCCTCTGCCTGTCTCCTCTGCCTGTCTCCTCGCCCCCCCTGCCACCACCAGCTCCATAACGGGCGGGTCTAGACCCAGCTGACCCTTGAGTCGACTCAAAAGACCCAGCTGACCCTTGAGTCGACTCAAAAGACCCAGCTGACCCTTGAGTCGACTCAAAAGACCCAGCTGACCCTTGAGTCGACTCAAAAGACCCAGCTGACCCTTGAGTCGACTCAAAAGACCCAGCTGACCCTTGAGTCGACTCAAAAGACCCAGCTGACCCTTGAGTCGACTCAAAAGACCCAGCTGACCCTTGAGTCGACTCAAAAGACCCAGCTGACCCTTGAGTCGACTCAAAAGACCCAGCTGACCCGCCATCCACAGCACTCCCTTGTGGCTCGTGCACTGGGGGAAAGGAGAGGAAGGGGAGGAGGGGAGACTGGAGGGAAGGGGAAGGGGGCAATGGGGAGGAAAAGGATACTTGATGGCAGCTCCTCCGCGCCCTATACGTTGCAGGGAGTTTTTGAGAATTCTCGAAAACTCTTTTTGAGAATTCTCGGAAACTCTTTTTGAGAATTCTCGGAAACTCTTTTTGAGAATTCTCGGAAACTCTTTTTGAGAATTCTCGGAAACTCTTTTTGAGAATTCTCGGAAACTCTTTTTGAGAATTCTCGGAAACTCTTTTTGAGAATTCTCGAAAAAGAAGATACTTGCTGGCAGCTCCTCCGCGCCCTGTCGGCGTGTCTCCTCGCCCCTCCCCCCACCAGCGCCATCACAGGCGGATCGAGCCAGACCCAGCTGACCCGCCATCCACTCCACAGCACTCCCTTACAGGCGCCATCCAGCACTCCATTACAGGCGGATCCAGCACTCCCTTACAGGCGGATCCAGCACTCCCTTACACAGCATCACAGGCGCCATCCATCATCACAGGCGCCATCCAGCATCACAGGCGCCATCCAGCATCACAGGCGCCATCCAGCATCACAGGCGCCATCCAGCATCACAGGCGCCATCCAGCATCACAGGCACCATCCAGCATCACAGGCGCCATCCAGCATCACAGGCGCCATCCAGCATCACAGGCGCCATCCAGCATCACAGGCACCATCCAGCATCACAGGCGCCATCCATCATCACAGGCGCCATCCAGCATCACAGGCACCATCCAGCATCACAGGCGCCATCCATCATCACTGGCGCCATCCAGCATCACAGGC